AGGATGCAGGTTTTATTTAATCATTACCACTGTTCTTGAACCACACTTTATTTCTTGTGTCTCAGAAATATCAACAGATGACGGTGTTTTCTTTTTTCCTCACAGTCATCTGATAGTTTTCAAGGGTTTGCCGTCCCAACACCCAAAGTCCCCTTTCTTCCCCCTGTCAATGGTCCAAAGGCCAACGGTTCAGGTGAGCGTCCAACTACCTCAGATATGTGCTTTAGGTTTAACACAGCAAAGGCTAGAAGTCTTTTATTTACACTCTGAAGGACGAAGATCATTTGTGGTGCCTTTACTCAGACTCAGTTGATAGATCACAGCAATCAGAATGACTCTATAAAGGCTTGAAAATGTAGAGCAGGTAAATGTTTGCCCAGGCAGTTGCTCAATAACCCTTCTGAATGTGCCCAAACAGCCATTCCAGCTGGCAAGGTTATTTACAGAATGGGAGTGTTTGCATTAATAGAATTTAAGCAATTCTGTATTGAGTAAGATTATCATCTTACTTGTTTATTAGGTTAAAACTCATTTCAGCATTTAGACTTTGCCGTTACTCGACCCATGATATTTGCAGTTATTTCTCCCTTTTAAGATATTCTGCTTTTATTCGCCATTTCCACACAGTGAATTTGACATTGATGTAGAGTGGAAGCACTGTCACATCCATATCACTGTTTTTGAATATTTCTGTCTAATGTAAATGCTTAAACATGAGGCAGCAGCGCATGTTAATCACTGTTAGTGCTCCTGCTCTACAACGTAGTGAGGTTTACTCAGTCATTCTCTCTCTTCTCTTCTTTCACAGTCGGTGGAGAAAAGCTGTACAACGGATCAGTTATATCTGTGCCTGATCTTGTGGAGGGGGAAATATTTGTTCCTCCCCCTCCCTCTATGGCACCTCCACCCCCTCCAGGGACTTTTATCCCTCCTCCAGACTTCTTGGGTGACCTAAACAGTCCAGACCTGGCAACCCTTCAGCCTCCTTCCATGCCTGCTCCAAAAGCCCCTCCACAGACAGCGCCCGTGGAGAACGATCTAGGCTTCTTAAAACGGCCAACAATGGCTCCACCACAGCCTCCATCTACTTTGTCTACCGGCTCTGCGTCATCCACGCCCATTTCTAGTCCACCAGCGGCCAAAGTTCCTGAGCATCCAAAATTTGCCCCCCCACTACCCCCTACTGAAAAGCAACAGAAGACTTATAAGACACCACCTCCAAAGCCCATTAGACTGTCCTCTATGTCCAACCTTGACTCCCCACCACAGACTCCTGCACCACCTCCCCCTGTGCATACACCCACGCTCTCCACCTTTAATCCCCAAAACACAGCAAAGCTTTACAATGTCCCTGAAACCTCACCTCTCAGCAGTCATGAGAATCGTGACACAAGACCCAAGCAGATGTTACTCCTGGAAGATTCTGGGTCCGTTAACTCTGCACCAGTGCTTGTCCAGGTGGATGGGAAAGTGCCTAAAGCGGCTACACCGACTAAACCGGTTTCAAAAGATGTACAGGAGCTGAAGGAGAACTTACAAATAACACAGCCCTCTCAACCACCCCTATCTGAGCCAAACAAGGAGGCTAAAACAGGGACAGGTTCAGCACAGCCAGAAATAACCAAACTGCTCCTGACTACTCCTCAGAAGTCACCACAGCTTCTGAAAGTGAACAGTTCTCAGGTGAATTCAGAGCCCAGCAAAGGGAACCTTGAAGGATCTCCATATCAAAGACCTAAATTCAGTCCGTTATTAGATCGTAAACTACGCAGCCTGAAGAGTGGTGAAACCAACGGGGCACGAGAGGGGCCTGCAGCTTCCCCGCTGGCTCTTTTAATGGCGGCTAAGGAAAGAGATAAACATAGATCAACTCACTCCCTGTCGCGGGAAAACAGTGCCAAGAAGAACGAGCAGCCAAGCACAAGCATTCACCCGAGTGACTCGAGTCCCAATTCCTTTGTTGTTGTCCCAAGGTTAAACTCGTCCTCTTCTCTTACATTGCAAGAAAGAATACAGGAGAGTCCAAACTCTCTCAGTCCTGTGAAACATACGCAAACAATTCAGACTCCAGAAAAATCCAGAAGTCCTGCACTGGACAGGGATCAGATGCCGTTTACCAGTCCAGCTCTCAATAGGATCACAGCAGCTGCATCCCCAAGTGCAACGAACCTGGTTGAGCAGAAACAAAATGCAGAGCAAAGCCCCCCAAAGACTCAATCCACACAGCCTGAGGATAATAAAGAGGAGATAAGCATGCCATTACTCCCTCCTCCCCCAGAGTTTGATGATTTAGAAGAGATTATGATGCCCCCTCCTTCCGTCCGTCCACCTGACCCTCCTGTGAAAAAGGCACCAGCACCTCCTGTGACCCTTCCACCTGCACCTCCGGCTCTGTCCCCCCCTCCAAAACCCCCAGCAGCTCCAAAACTCCCACCTCCTGACATCAATGTCAAACCAAAGCCTCATGTCCAGACAAAACCTCAATCAGCCCCTCCTCAGCTACCATCCACTCTTTCCCCGAGTCAGGCCACACTCCTGAGCATCTTACAAAAGAAGATGTTGGAAATGGACCACAAAATGGCTCCGGTGAAGGAGGCAGAGTCTGGTTCTGATGACTGGGAGGCCCCCTTGTCTAGTGAGGACAATAAGGTCCCTGTTGTCCCCAAAGCCACACCACAAAGCAAGAATTACCCTGTGGTCAACAAAGCAGCAACCCTGGACATGAGGGAATTGGAGGGAAAAGTGGCCAAAAAATATGAAACGTCCTCGATGAAGGTTCCCACCAGGTAAGACTTGCACTGCTCAGACATGACACATTCACTTTTTAGGTCAATAAGCCCAGTGTTTGGGTGCAGTATTCATTCATAATCCTGAACGTCTTCTTCTTCTTTCAGCAACGGACCGTCAAAACATCAGTATGGTATGACCTTTACAATTCGGCCTGGAACCAAACAGCCTATTACCCCGGTTAGTAGAGGGGAACCTTAAAAATCTGTGGAAATTAGACACATCTGTACAGCACACATTCCATGTGTTTGTATATGTGATTTTGCAATTAACAGGAGTTTGTGCTGCAGGGAAAAAGCACTGAGTTACAGAAATATGGTTGGCATGTTAAAAATATCTCAAAACAATGGTGTGCTCAGTTATGAATGATGTAGTCTGAATGTAATGCTCAATCTCTGAAGGATGTACTGTCACTGTCAGGTAATCAGTTTCAGCGCCACATGGGTAATATTCATTGTATAAGCAAAACCTATTAATAAAATGCTTTTCGCTTAAGCTATTCATAGCTGTAAACTGCAAGCTGAGTGAAAGTGAATCGACATTATACAGTAATTTGTAGAACATGAAAAGTCTTTCATAGATTTGTGTGGAATCTTCATTGTAAAACACAATAATAATGTATGATGTAATTATTGTGGCCTGTAATTTCATGTCCCACAACTGCAATATTCTTCCACTGTTACAGTTTTGTAGGTCCACTGGGGCAAAGCCAACAGTTAATTCAGACATGTGTCAGAGCATGCTGATCTCTCAGTCGGATTGTTTCTCATATTTATTGTTCTCGGTAATGTCTTTACATTTGTATAACAGTTATTTGCTGCGGTAACATTTGTGTCAGTGTAGCTGCACATGCTGTTATTGATGTACATATTCGTTTATATAAGATTTAAGAACTATTGTAACATGTTGTATGTACATGTTAAAGTCATGTAATCAAAATATTTAAAATATATTGGTCATAAAGCAAAGCTACACAAAATGTTGTCCAAGTCCCTAACTGGGAAATTTATTCAAGCATTAACTGCGTGTTTTAATAAATGTACTTGAGTTTTTTGTGCACAGCATGAAGCTTTTGCGTTCGTATTCTGATGCCTTAAAAATGTTACAGAATGTTATATTGTTGTGTTTTGTCTTTGTTATCTATGGAGATTATCAGTTAAGCAGGGGACAAACCCTAAATCAGAAACTGACAGGTGATGGCTCCACAAGAACAAAAGCCTCATTGAAAAGTGAAAACAGTGTGTGTCTGCATGTGACACAGATTCTTCTTTTTTTTTTCTTTTTGCAAAAAAGGCACGATAGTTGTGCTGTACTTTATATAATAAGCCAGGGGAAAGAGAACAGAAGCACCAACATACTGTGATCAGTAATGTTATAATATTGTTACATCTTTTCTCTTTCGAGATTCAGGAGTTTTGTAGATCTCAGTCTCAATGTTAAAATTCCCTTGTGAAATGAAAAACACAGTTAAACATGATCTGATAATGTACACACCTTTTCGCACCACATCATACATTCAGAGTGTAGTAATTCAGTTGAAGGCAAAGAACAGTTATATATGATGCTTTCTGGATTAAATATATGAAAAACCTTTTAATGCCTGGGGTATATTTATTTTATTACATTTGTAGTGACAGAGGAAATTACCTTTGATAACGACAGCACCAAAACAACTATGGTTAAGATGATGGGAAGGAAATAAATTGCTTCCATAAACTTTAATCATGGTTAAAGGCTAAAGATGATTTTTCCTGTTAAAACACATGTAACTTGGCAAATGCAATACTATGGAATAACTTTCACTAAAGTGGGCCTCACTGTTAAGTGTTCCTGTTGTTTCGGTGGCTGTTTGTTTCACTACACATCCAAGGATGTGAATTATTATGGTAATATTGACATTATTAGCGACACAACACATTATGCTGGTACCATGTGAAAATGATTAGGACACTTAAGTCCAGTCTACGTCAGACCACGGATGAGCAGGGACACCCTTAACTGCCACTGACTTTGCAAATCACCCGTGTGATCTTGTTAACGTTCGAGCCTCCTGCCCACACTTGTCACACGTGAACATATAAACACACTGCCCTCTTTTGACCCAGTAGTGGGTAAATTGTGGGTCTGCCTCTGTGACTGAGACAATATATGACAATGGTTTAGTTGCTGGCATATAGTAGAATCCAGGAAACACAAAGAAATGTTAAAAATGATCTTGCTATTAAGTTACCTTTAATGTAAAATTATGCAATACAAATGGGTTGCCTCAAATGTAATTATACATTAATGGAAATGCTATACAGTGTGAAAGAAGTGGAGCGGGAGTAGAGCAACACAATGCACCAAGGCCAGGAGAGGAGAGCAAATGCCCAAATATTGTGCACATATCTTGAGTACTGAATGACAATGAAACACCTCAATCCATATCTCCTCACTCACATATTACATTTAACTTCTTTAGATTCACCCCTCAAAAATAAGGGGCAAACTTAGTAAGATGAAATCTTGCTCTTCCAAGGCGTGTGACCATCTGTTGAATCTAAGAGGAGGAGTTTGGAGCTCCAGCAGCTGAACCCACCGTGTGGTGAAGTACAAGATGATCCCAGCCTACGGTTGTCAGGGTGTTAGAGCCCCCGTGGAGCCAGGATACACCTTTGACAAAGTCCTGGTGTCGCCGATCTCTCAGTCTACAGCAGAAGAAAGAATATAGGATTAGTAATTTTTTAAAAATGGTACAGGAGACTGACGTTTCCTAGTTTGAAGTGCAGAGACTCACATTTCTTGCAGTTCAGAGTCCATAACAGCAAGGGAGCAGTCATCGCTGACAGCCGCTAGCAAGGGGGCACTGGAATGAAAGAAAGAAAAAGTTACAGTTTCATAGAGAAACATTATAGAAGGAATCTGAGATTGTAGAAGAATTGAGATTTACCTATGTGTGGAGAAAGCGAGCCCATTAACTCTGCGGCTGTGGACGTTCTCAACCCGGGCCGGTTCTGTTCCCAGGAAATCTTTCACTGTCACTCTGCCGAGCTCATCACCTGAGGCACAATGAACATGATGAAAACTGCAGGGATGGCCAATTTAATGTCTCTGTCCATCAATAATCAGCTGCTGGGCCTTACCGAAAGCAATGGTGCTTCTGTGGTGGGGGTGCCACGCTACAGTGGTAGGTGAGCAGCTGGGGGCCTCTATATCTGGGACAGAAAGAACAGTCACAAGGTTGGTTAAATCAGCCAGACAAAACCCATCACTAGGTAGATGGTTATCTGTCAGTGATGCCAATATCCACCGTAGCAAAATTAAGTCCAGCGCCGTCAACAACCTGGGAAAAATGTCTGAGCCTGGTTGTTTAAGGTGGGACAAGCTGCTCACCTATTCTTGATGCTGGTTTGTTTGGCTTCCTCCTGTCCCACATCAGCACACGGCCATCCTGAAGGGTGGAGGACAACAGTATATTCTTACAGTTCTCTCTCTGCTCTTGTGCAGTTCATCCAACTTTATTAATGGTGGAGTATCTGTTAATACACAGAATTTATTGTAGCTTTCTTATGTTACAGCACAAGAGGAAAAAATCAGTTCCTCTTAAATAATGTGCACAGTCACGTAGTTCCATCAGTTATGTTAGGTGTTCTGTTCGCAGTGATGCTTGATCAGTATCTTACTTGACCACAGGAGATGAAGAGAGATTCGTCTGTGGGACTGCAGGCAACACATCTGACCGGCTGTGTGTGCACTGGAGGAAAAAAATAAGTTAACAGACACATTCAGTTATGGTTTTTACCATCTTTATGCTTGTGATTTTGTTTTGTCAAAACAATATTCTACAAATAAGACCATTTATTATGCAATCACACTTTAAATCACTAGACAGCATTAGGTGCATATGTTTTGCCAAAACTGTAGGATAGGGCTGCACAATATATAGTTTACGCATTGCCATAGAGATGTGAGCATGTGCAATAGTCACATTGCAGGACGTGCAATGTAACAGCAAATTAACTCAAACATATAACTTCTTTGCTGCTTGATACAAAAGGAAAACTTGCACAGTTCTCACTTTCCATGGCTAATCTAGAAGAGGAGTGTCTGATATGACATAACATAATAATAAAAAAATTCTTGGAAACATAAAGATGTGGCTAATGAGTGATATGCACAGCAAACCACCAATCACTATCATTCCTGATCAGTTTATCAAACAAACAAAACAGGGGACACATGACTCAAAAGAATGATTTACAAAGAGGTGATTTGTTTTTACCTTACTTTAGTAGAATTACTTATACTAAATGATAATTATGAAATGTATAAAATCTATAAAACTTTAACAGAATATAATTTGACTGGTTAATAAAATTCAGCTCCTCTTATTTTGAAAGGCATTTTGAGATATTCCCTTACCATTGTAGGTAGTGACAACTGTCTCCTGACTGAGATCCCATACTTTAATTCTGTAGTGAAGAAAGGGAAAGAGATGCACGGTGATGAGTGTGATGAAAAAAGTAATTACTAAAACGATAAGGCCACAGTTGAAAACAAACCGAGTTTCATTCAGCAGTGACACTTCATGCAACAGTGGATGTATCTGTATAAAATACCATCTAACCTGCAGTCCATGCTGCCAGTGACGGCACTGCTTGCTCCAGTTATGGGGCTCACTGTAGTGACAATGTGGTCATGCTCATGTTTGGTGAAGCAATTCACAAGCAGGCGTTCATCCTCCGCCAGTTCCCAGAGCTCCAAGGCACCTGCACAGTGGAACAAATCCAGTTTGTCAATTAACTCTCGAGCCCAGTGCTTGACTCATATAGTAAATGCTCCAAAAGTGCTTCTTACCTGAGTCTGATGCAACAACAACACCCTTTTCTGACACCCATTTCACATCTGTGACACTAGCCTCAGTCTGCACACCAGCTTTGCAGAAACCCTCATTGGGGGCTTGCTCAGGGTCACTGTAGATCCACACTGATCCCTGCCAGCTCCTGCCAGTGAGGCTAGAGGCACCAAGCAGCAGGGTGCCATCTGAGAGGAAATCAGGGGAAAACACACACACACACACACACACACACACACACACACACACACACACACACACACACACACACATTAGCAAACCAGCTGCATTTTAATTCTGCTGTGGTAGTTGTGAGAATCACTTGGAGCCATTATTTAATTCGGCAACCATCCAATCCACAGAGCAGATCATATTTAAGCTTCTAAGTGCAATTTATTTGACATGATTACTTATTATCCTGTCACATGCACTAAAGAGCTGAGATGCTGAGCATGTGCATCAATTTTATGAACAAAAATGACTCTTACTCAACAATTTGTCCAGTTATATATGGCTCAAATTTAGTAGCAGACCCTTGCACATCAGTAAAGATGTAAACAGACTCGGACTAACATTAACTAACTAGCGGCACCACGTGTTTACCTGTGTAACCTTAAGCTAGCCTGGCTTGTTACCAACCTGCTCTGTATTGCGCCGAGCACAGATGCTTCTCCATGCACGCTGGGGCATTGGGGGGTATGTTCCATCGGTTTTCCTTGATCATGCTGGTGTCTACTGCACTTTTCATTCAGGTATCGCAGTAGACTTCCTGTGATTTTGCAAGCAACTTTAGCGCGAATTCTACGTTAGCTAGCTAGCGTTGCTGTTTGCTTACAGCGACGCCACCGGTTTCGTCTTTGGTGATTACAATTTATCGTATCTTAAAAACACAATGATGTCCGTGTGCCGTAGAAACACTACAGCATGTATTGTTGCTAAAGTTCTCGTTTCAACAATGAATGAACGAGTGAACAGAAACACATGGGACCGATGAACGTACACTTCCTGCTCCGGGTCTCTACTTCTTCGTTGATCGATATGCTGCTGCTCGCCTTTTTCTTCTTCTGTTTTGAAGGTTTGTGGAAGGTGGTTTTACTGCCATCTTCAGGAGATAATTAGGCTCATTAATATTATTTTATTAAGTTGATTTCACTCTGTCATGCACATGCACATACTGCACTGTTAAAAAAAAAACAATAGATTCAATCCAACATTGGGGCATGTATGTGTGAAGACAAAAGTATAAAATTAAATTAAATTGATCAAACTATAAATACACTGTGACACAGGCAAGATGCAATGCATGAAACTGAAGCATGACATAGCATATAAACACTGAAACTTATTTTCATGGTGTTGCTTCTGCGCTCAAATTATGATATCAATAAAGACTGCTCAGTGTCCATTTGTCTTGTTGTTACTCTCTTTTGAAAGGCTTTTGAAAACAAGTTGTATCTCTACTGAAACAAACTGTCTTTGGCCCATTCCAGTCACTTATTTCATGCAGCTGCTCACACATTTACCTGAATACATCACATTTTGTGGTTCATAGCAACAGGAACATCAGACAGTATCAACTTTGTTTCAAACTTCTCAAACTACAATTTCCAATTTGATTTTTACCAATGACACATCAGTTTGTCCTCTCAGCAGAGAGCTTTGCTGCTCTCTGTTAAACAAACTGAATGTTCTTTATTTGGAATACAACTCATTTGGTGCATATTATTCCTTGGCTTGACTTTAAACAATTGGTCATATCTCAAAAATGTGGTATAACCTGCCCCAGACTGTAGGAGTGTCAATTATGAATACTTTTTAAGGGTGCATAAAGAATAAAAGGAATTTTCTTTCATATTTGTGAACAATTTGAAGGGGTGATTATCTCCTTCGGTATGCAGTTCCTCTCTGATGCCTCCTTAAAAATAATTTTACACTCTTCTGTCTTGCCCACTGTCATTGATATTTTACTGCAGCTGACTATCATTACTTCATTGTTCATTATCTGCTGGTTTTCCACCAGTAACCCTATTACCAATCAACCCATCTTCTGCTTGTCTACAGAACCCATAACCTCGTTGGGATGCTTTCCTGTCATGTAAGGTAAAATGTTTCTTCTTTTTTCTTCTTCACATTCACAGTGGTATGAGAAACTGTCTAATGGCTGGCTCTATAAATCCCTTAATAAAGCAATAGTAGAACTTGTGAACTGCTGATCAAATTACATACCACTATTATACCTCAATTCGACACCCCAGCCTTAATTTTTTCATATATAGTTGACCAGTGACATTTCTTTCTTTTCTACCTGTTTACCCACCCTTTCAGTCATTTTCTCTCATATAAACTACTGACAAGAGCTAAGTGACTATTAGTCATGTTCTAGTTACATGTTTGAGTGCTCACTGGTTCCCAGCCTTCTTGGCTTCTGACCCCTTAAAACAAAGCAATGTCTATTTGTGACCCCCTGAGTAAGTTTTGAGCAGGTTAACAAAGGAGTGATTTGTCAGAGTGATTTCCTTTAAATAATTTTAGAGGCCTGATGTAGTAGAGCTTTGCATGGATTCATTAGATTAAAAGATAAGATTAGCGTTACATTTTATCTTCTAGCCTGTCAATTGTCTCACAACCCTCGACTCTCAAACTTATATTGGGATCACTTGAAGGGGTCCTGACCCCCACTTTGGGAGCCACAGTTACAGATTACTACAAATGATTATGTATTGAGCAGTTTACTAAGTTTTGACTGTTATTGATAACACATAGTGTGCACCAATATAGTACCATTACTTTCACAAAAATGGACTAAGTCCACCTCAAACATTCTCTTATTGTCTTTATGATGGCTTTACATATGTGGCTTGCCTTAAATAGGCTACAACTTCAATTCAGATCAATCTCAGAAATCAGTGAGAGAACCAGTCTAGCAGACAAAGTGTGCTTTTATAGTCATTTGGCATTTGCAAGATGACATGTTGGTTACAGTAAATGTAACTCAAGGAAAGAAAAGACAGAATTTGATGTGTGATCCTCAATCACTTGAGAATGGCATCAGGAATTCAGGAGATTTGAAATAAAACTGCTGTCTGTAGGTAACAATCTAGTCACATCATTCAAGGAAACAAGCATGAGTTCTGTTGATGATGTGAGGGCGGCAAAATTTAACATAGGTGATGGTGTATTTTAGAAACCTGAATCGCTTTTGTTCAGCTGGAAACATTAGGTTTAATGGCGAGAATAATATGTGTAAAGTAGAATTCAACTAACAGGAACTGCGTTGCACTTATTGTTTGATCAGAAACGTCGTAACTTTATTTTGTAATGGTGTCATGAATGTGGTTTCTAAATACTAAAGTAGTCACCATTATGCAACCTGCATATCAAACAAATCCCACATTAAAGCGAGAACAGCAGAAAAAAATCATTATAGCTATGTTAAACGTACTTATAACTACGCATAAACCATATAGGTTTTTTATTCTGAAGGCATACAGACGGAAGTGGCAGTCAAATTGTTGCTAACTTCGCACTTGTGTCTCTCTGTCTAAAATCGATAAGTGATTGGTTTTCTTAATGGTAAAGATTGTGTGGGTCAAGTAACGTGCTGACAGAAGGTAAGCACACAACCATGTCAAACGGTTAAACTGAAATCATTTCCAGGGGTTGTCGTCGATGCACCTAACGGTGGCTTTGTAACGTTAGTCGTTGTTACAGTGATGTCTTTGTCTCGGCTGTAACGTTAACTGATGCTGAGGGCTAACCGTTAACTGTAGCTAACGTTAGCTGTGCCGCGATGTGTACCTGTCCGCTCTGAGTGACAGCCAGGCAGCTGGACAGCTGCTGCTCCTTACGCTAGCTTATTGCTGGTGCGTGGCTGTGTGCAGCTAGGTGACATTAGGGAGAGCCGTTCGAGGTTTTTTTTAAGTCAGACCGCCAGACATGCCAGCTCTCTTGGTCGTCTGTTGTTAGTAATGTTATCTCAGGTGATAGCAGTCAGCTGGTGGGGTTGTCACCATTAGACGCTTAAAAAAGGTACATAAAATCTGCTAGGAGGACAGAGGGTCTGTTGCCATATGAGAGCAATTTTTATAAAATACAGATTTTACAAAAGTGTTTGCGCCAATAGTCTTAAGGTAAAACATTTAATTAGGGTTCCAAGTTCATATGAGGTGACATAAAATTTCATCTCCAGTGCTCCCTTTGGGCCCCATCATGAGAATATTCATAATGGCACTGTCAGCTATCTAAGGTATCATATTAACTTTAAGTAAAATGTTACTAGAATTACAGGTATCTTCTACCATGATGAGAAGAGCAACTTGATTTGTTTATTCAACAGTGCCATTTTTCTCCACATTAAAGTGAATTGTCTATTTCCAATTTTCCTGTTTATTTACATTGATCAATTTGTATGTTTATTATCTTTAAAGCAAAAGACACCTTGAACTTTGCCTCTTATTCATATTCTTACCTTTTCACCCCAAGATTATTCATCTTGCCATTCAGGAGCCTGTTGCATCTGACATGAGGGGGTGTGTCAACAAGTGGAAGAAACTATTCTTAAACCTAAATTCAACTTTTGATGTTTCAACCACTAAATATACTGTATTTAGAAATCAGATGATGACTGAAAAAGAACACACAAAACAGTTGTCTTAGTGTCCATTCATTTTCAATGTATGGGGCACCAGAGCAGAACTGCCATGTACAGCTGGTGTCCTCATGTATTTCAGCAGGTTGAGCAATGTAACTGAAGAATTGCCCGAAAGAATTCCTTTAGACAACACAATTGTATGTCCCAGTTCACAATATTAAAAGACCCCATTCCTTTATACTTTATCGACAAAAAATGAATAATAGAAAATTGTCAAATGCTGTGACAGTATGCTTGTACCTTGTTTACTCAGCCTCTGACTTGTAGCAAACATGGCTACAACCAAAGTGCACACTCAATAGGAGAGGCAAGTGCTCCCAGCTTTAAATATTGTTATAAACATTTTACAATGAAAATGGTTTTAGTATGAAATTTTGTGAGGAATCATTAAAAAATGCTACTAATCTTCAGGAGGGCACTATTCTGTATCATGTGGCACAGGTTGCAACCCTATCAGCTGGTTTGACTGACTGACTATGCTCTCAGTCTCTATAGTTGATACACTCTTTGAATACTGTTGGAAATAATAGTACGTGTGTAATATTATATAGCTCTAATCTGAGCCATTTTCCATATAGAGACACTTGTTACTTTATTGGAATTTGTCTTTCTCTCAAGGGTTCGTCATGGCCTTGAAAAGGAGACGGGCGACTTCCCCTTCTAGCAGTGTGAGTGGAGGAGATTTTGACGATAGCCAAACTTCATCGTTAGTGTCTTCAATTGGGAGAAAGAGGAGAAGGACCTCAAACATACCAACTGTGGATCCTGTAATTTTACAGATTTCAGTTACTGTCTTTTAAACCATACTGTCAGAATTATACTACCACACAGACTGATTAAGTAGTTTACATGGGAAAGGATGTGGATATTTTTCAGTGTTTATTCTTGTCTTGCAGATTGCTGTATGTCATGAACTATATAACACAATCAGAGATTACAAGGATGACCAGGGCAGGATGTTGTGTGAACTGTTCATCAGAGCCCCTAAACGAAGGTGAGTAGAGGGATGAGCGATCATGATACATTACATCCTGAAATTCCTTTTAATATCAATCAAGTAATTTAACACTAACATTAGACAGAAAATTTACAAGTCCCTATTTGTTCCAGGAATCAACCAGACTACTACCACGTGGTGTCTCAGCCTATTGACATGATGAAAATCCAGCAGAAATTAAAGATGGAGGAATATGATGATGTTGAACAACTCACCAGTGACTTTCAGTTGTTATTTAACAATGCAAAAACCTATTACAAGGTAAAGAAAAATGAGTCTGTTGAAAGAAAATTAAAATATATCTGTGCATGGCTCCGACTATACACCTAACATGACTATGTATTGCTTGTGTGTAGTCTGACAGTCCTGAGTAC